AGAATGCTGAGCAAGTCAGAGACTGGGGTTTAATACCTGAAAGTGTTATATCACTCATTTTCACTGCCCTGCTGAGGTCCTGGAACCTCTTGGTGAACTGTCCCCAGGTTACAGGGGACTATCATCTGCTGCTGACTTCCTTAGCAACTTAGATGTATCACCTGGTTTGTTGAAGAGGTTGTCTTCATCCTTCTGAACTTGTGAAAGCTCACCTCACTACAACTCGTCCAACCCCACAGCAGGAACTCTGTGTAGGAGCAAGAATGAGGGGGAAGAGAGAGTGGAATTGGCAACTTGTCCACATTACCTCTCTATTTCTAAAATTTGTACCCACCCCAATCATTTTGACCTCTACCAGAATCCTTTTCAAAGAAAATCCTTCCTCTGACAGATTTGACACATCTTCCTGCCAACCTGACTAATCAGGAAAGCCGGAAGTGGGGTGTTCATGTGCTATCTCAGCAAAAAACCATTGGAAAAGTGAGCTCCAGATTCCAATGTGGAATACAACTACTTATGGTCCAACATTCCTGCAGGGATTTTCACTTGACAATTCCAACCGATGTCTCCAGAAGTATTTTGCTGCAGTAGAACAATTCCATCAATCCTGACATTTGAAGTCACATTAATTTGTTATCTGTGACAATTTGAGAATATTCTCATCCCATTCCATCTCACCAATTTGTTGGCCTTGAAGGATTCCATCGCATGAATTGAAATGAATCAAAAAATGTTAGCTGAATGTTGCCCATTCCTCATTACCCTTGAGAAGGTTGTAATGAGCTGCCCTCTTGAATTACTGCAGTCCACATGCTGTAGCACACCTACAGTGCTGTTAGGAATGGCTTTCCAAGTGTGTTAGACCCAGCAACAGTAAAGGAGCAGCAATATATTTCCAAGTCAGAATGGTGTGATTTGGAGGGGAACTTGCATGTTGTAGAATTCCCATACATTTGTTACAATTGTCTTCTAGGTGGGACGGGTCACAGGTTTGGAAGATGTTGCTGAAGGAATCTTGACAAGTTGCTGCAGCAGGCTGGGAAACTCTAAACTAGATCAGACTGAATTTCTCTGCAGTATGAGCTGAGGAGGTGGAAACTAAAGTACAACAGCACCACCACTGGCAAGTTGGTGAAATTACATGGTCAGTTTACGCCAGCAGTTTGCATTATTAATGTAGACAAAATAGGTTATACCAGGAAATGTTGACACAAAAGCGCACTGACAGGTTGTGTAAAAAGGAAGCGTGTGCAAATATAAGGTTTTTTAATTAAGATATTTAGATTTCAATATGAGTCAGCATAAGGAGGAGGTTGGTGAACACAAACTACCCAACTACAGTCCACCAGTGGCTGATTAGTAGACAGTAATACAATAATGTGGGGGAGTGATGTACTTGTGGTACTATTGCTAGACTATTAATCCAGAGACCTAGGTAATATTCTGGGGACCTGGATTCAAATCCCACCATGGCAGATGGTAGAATTTGAATTCAATAAAAAAAATCTTGAATTAAGAGTCTAAATATGACTATGAAACCTTGGTTGATTATTGGAAAAACCCATTTGGTTCACTAATGTCTTTTAGGGATGAAAACTGCCATCCTTACCTGCTCTGGCCAACTTTTGACCCCAGACCCACAGCAATGTGGTTGGCTCTTAACTACCCTCTGGGCAATTAGGGATGGGAAATAACTGCTGGCCTGGCCAGTGACACCCTCATCCCATGAATGAATTATACTTAAAAAAAAAGCATAGAGCAGTGCACACAAAGAATATGACAGTAGTATACTATATGATTCTGAGTATGACTATGCCAGCCATCCCGATTTTGATGCAAGCCCCAGATGGAGGATTTTGCAGGATTAATAAGGCTGAGTGCACCCTGGTACCCAAATTGATGTCATTGTCATCTATCCAATCTTATTCTTTTTTGCCTTTTCTGTGGTGGGTTGTTTCAACTAAATGACTTGCTAGGTTGCTTCAGGGGACAGTTAATAGTCAGTAACATTGCTGTGAGTCCAGGCTCACAGCTGGGCTGCAGATTTCCTTTGTTGAAGGGCAGAATTGAATCAATGAATGGATTTTTATGTTCATTAATGATAGTTTCACAGCACCATTGCTGAGACTACCTTACAATTCCAGAGTTTTTATTAGTTGATCTTTTACTAATTAAATGAGTTCAAGTTCCATCAGAGATTTTAAACAGTTTCCCCAGGGCATTAGCGTGGGCCCCTGGATTACTAAGATAACAAGGTGTAGAGCTGGATAAACACAGCAGGCCAAGCAGCATCAGAGGAGCAGGAAAGCTGACATTTCGGGTTTGGACCCCCCCCACCCCATTTGTGAAGAAGGGTCCAGACCAGAAACGGGAGCTTTCCTGCTCCTCTGATGCTGCTGGGCTGCTGTGTTCATCCAGTTCTACACTTTGTTATCTCAGATTCTCCAGCATCGGCAGTTCCCACTATCCTTGGATTACTGATCCCTGTTATGCTCATTAATATGACTTTCCTCTGCTCTGTCTAAATCACCCTTTCTTGTGGTCACAAGCAGTCGCTTATCGATTAAACTGCTAGGCAAGTGATCTGTATCCCAAGCCTCTGCTGTGACACTCTTTCAGTTTTCCCGTCTCTCACTAACTGAGAAATCTTGACTCAGCACAAAACAAGGCAGTCTATCTGAGGGTGGCAGCAACAATATAAACTGGGATTTCTACTTTTGGGTTAGATTATCAGATTTTTGAATGGACCTCTCAAATGTTGATTCTGATCTCTCTCTCTGCATCTTCTCTGTGGCTGTAACACTGTATTCTGCAGTCTGTTCTGATACCCTGATGCACTTTGTGTGGTACGATCTGCTTGTATTGCACACAAAACAATACTTTTCACTATATCTCAGTACATGTGATGACAATCAATCAATCAATTATGGTCTTAACTGCCTGACCATTTAACATGGTCCTGACACAGTGCAGGTAGGAAAATCTGGCAATGAAGTTATTGAATTTTCCTTTTAATAAAAACAAGATCAGGCAGATTTTCCTACCGAAGCCAATGGCCTACTGGTATAATCACTGGACTGTTAATCTAGAGACCAAGGTGACATTTTGGGTTTGAATCCCAGATTTGATGGTGGAATTTGAATTTAATTAAAAATTAAGAATCTAGTGACAAACCATGAATCTGCTGCCAATTGTTGGGAAAAACCCATCTGATTCGCTAATGAGCTTTAGGGAAGGAAACTGCCACCCTTACCTGGTCTGGCCTACATGTGACTCCAGACCCACAACAATCTGGGTTGACTCTCAACTGCCCTCTGGGCAACTGGAATGGGCAAGAGCAATGCCCTCATCCCATAAATGAATAAAGCGAAATAAAACATTCATCCTGTATATTTGATCATGTAATGTTTGCTGTCATGTTATAAAGGCAGATCCTACCCCATAACAAAAGAAAGTGTTTGCATTTGTATTGCGTATTTCAGGATTTCCCAAAGTATTTTAAATAAAAGTACTTTGTTTTGAAATATGATCACCATTATAAGATGGTGCTCCGACCAAATTGTTTTTTATTGTGTGTGATAGTTGATGAGTTGGTCAGGATATCAGGCGCAATCTCTTTTCCTCTTCAAAATAATGGCAACGTCTTTTGCACTTGAGAAAACAGACAGAGCTTTAGTTTAATGTTTCATTTGTAAGATAATATCTCTAACAATGCAGTGCCCTCAAAGGGCCCTGGATTGCAAACCTAGATTTTGTGTTCACATCTCATGTCTCCGACTGTCAATGAACAGGGTAATCAATCTGCACTTATTAAAGGACAAATCCTGCTTTGTCATTTATGGGAAATACTGTTCACCATCCATGGTGATTACACTTCCTAATCATCTGAGCCAAGACCCTGTTTCGCTAATTTCCTTAAGTCATGCTTCACTACCAAACTACTCGAAGTCAGTTTCCATTTTGCCTGTCTTTTCCAAAGGCTCCGCGCCTTGAATATTTAGTTAAAAACTCGAATAAAGGCAACATACAGTGGATGCTGGAAATCTGAAACAAACACAGAGAATACTGGAGAAACTCAGTCAGCCTGGCAGCACCTGTGGAGAGAGACTCAGGAACAGTCATATCACACTCAAAACATTAATTCTGTTTCTCTCTCCAATCATTTTGAGTCAGTATGACTCTTCTTCAGGGTTTTTTTTTCCACAAATGCTGTCAGATCTGTTGAGTTTCGCCAGAATTTTCTGTTTATTTTGAACATTTATTTCCCAAATGTTGTCACTTTGTAACAGATCTCTGCAACAGTTATTCAATCTAAACTATTTATCTGCATTTATGACACTAGAACAAATATCTCATTGCTGATGCTTCATCCATTCGGATAAGTCTTTAGATTTTCTTTTACTGCTTTATTTGTTGGTGAACTGTCAACTCACTGCCCCTTCCTGTCCCACTCTGCACATCTCTGTCCAAATCGCATTATGCTGTATTGTTTCGATTTTGAAATGTCCCTTCACCTGAAACCCTCACCCAATCTGCCTCTGTTAGTTTCACACCCTATCCACAAACCTAGTTATACAATTTGTCAGGGCCTTCATCCCAGTCCTCTCCCGATGGAGCTCATTGCAGCGTGACAGCTCCCTCTTTCCCAAGTACTGGTAGCAGTGGTCTGTGAAAATTGATCACTCTTTGACTTAAATATCACAATGTCCTCTTTCACCCAATGACCAATCGACTCAAGGAGTGGAATTCTGGATAGATCAGCAGAGTAAAAAATCTTGGAAACTTTTAAAGATTAAATTGATCTTATAATAAGGGAAACTATGGGATCTTAATGGACTTCTGGATGCATATGATCCTTTGAAACGTATCAATGCCAAAAGTCCAGGGGTCTGGGCTTCATGTAATTTTATTTGCCATTTAAAAGTGTACAGTACTTTGTAATATTGGACATCAAATAACGTCCTCTAAATTTGTCTCTTTCTGACCAGACTGATTATCAGTTTCCATGGAGCAGGACATAGAGAGCTCAGTGGCTCCTCAGCAGCCAAAGCTGCCAAAACAAGTGCGAGAGGATGCCCCGAAACAAATAGCTACGGGCAATCACCCAGTCAAAAGGAGTATCCAAAGGTACGTGCGAAAGGATGGAAAATGTAACGTTCACCATGGGAATGTCAGGGAGCGGTACCGTTACCTAACTGATATCTTCACTACGTTAGTGGACTTAAAGTGGAGGCACAACCTACTCATTTTTGTCATGGTCTATACCACCACTTGGCTTTTCTTTGGAATGATCTGGTGGCTTATTGCCTACATACGAGGGGACTTGAACCACATAGGGGACTCTACCTGGGTGCCCTGTGTTAACAATCTCAATGGCTTTGTCTCAGCGTTTCTCTTCTCCATAGAAACTGAAACCACCATTGGATATGGGTACAGATTCATCACAGACAAGTGTCCCGAAGGTATCATTTTACTCCTGGTCCAGTCTGTCCTGGGATCAATAGTCAATGCCTTCATGGTTGGTTGCATGTTTGTGAAAATATCACAGCCCAATAAAAGGGCTGAAACACTGGTCTTCTCCACACATGCTGTGATCTCTGTACGTGATGGGAAGTTGTGCCTAATGTTCCGAGTTGGGGACCTGAGGAATTCACACATTGTGGAGGCTTCAATTCGTGCCAAACTAATCAAATCAAGACAAACCAAGGAAGGAGAGTTCATCCCACTCAATCAAACAGACATAAACGTTGGCTACGACACAGGGGATGACCGTCTCTTTTTAGTCTCACCGCTAATAATCTGCCATGAGATCAATCAGCAGAGTCCATTCTGGGAGATCTCCAAAGCCCAGATGGCCAAAGAAGAGGTGGAGATTGTAGTAATCCTTGAAGGAATGGTGGAGGCAACAGGTAAGATATTTACTTCCAGTAATTGTGTGTAATCCATATTTCCTGCCCTCTTCATTGCCCCTCTGGCAGAAATCAACAGGGATTGTGATCGAATTTTGAAAATGGCAATAGGCAGTGAAAGGTGGCATGTGGGAGGGATAAAAAATACACTTTCGATCTTTCCAGTTAGTACTTTGCGACTTGTAACACACAAAAATTAATTCATGGTGTGTGAGAGTTGCTGGCAAGGTCAATAAACCAGTTCTGAGGAAGGGTCACCGGACCCAAAACGTTAACTCTGTTTTTTCCTTCACAGATGCTGCCAGACCTGCTGAGCTTTTCCAGCAACTTCTGTTTTTGTTGTCAATAAATATTAGCCATCTCTAATAGTCCTCAAGATGATAGTGGTAACCTCACATCTAACTTAAATACAGCTTAGGCCTTTTCAGAGGGCCGTTAAGAGTCAGTCACGTTGCTGCGGATCTGGATCCACCTGATGGCCATGCTGAGTCAGAAGAGCAGATTTCCTTCCTTAAAGGACATCAATGGGCTGGACGGGTTCAACAATCTGGTCGTTTCACAATCACCATTGCTGATACTAGCTTTTAAATCCAGGTTGATTTCACAGCTGTGGCTGTGGCCAATGTCACCACTAGGTGGTGCACTGCAAAATCAGAGTGTGGCTGTTAAACTTGCATCCAAGAACCGTGTAAATAAATCTAAGAGCCAAAGACATGAAGGAACATTAGGGAAGGAATCCTTGAGATTAGCCTTCAAAGCGCTGACTGTGTTTGGAAGTTTGTATGGCACGTTTTCCATATATCTTAATAAACCATTTGTAAACTTACTGTCATTTGGCCAGCCCTGAGCTCCCTTAAGGGACATTCCATTTTAATCTGCATGTATCTAAGATGAGGTGGTACAGTGGTAGTGTCCCCACTTCTGAGCCAGGAGTCCTGGGTTCAAGTACCACTTGCTGCAGTGGGCCTGTAGTACAGGTGAACAGTTTGATTAGGAAGTATCTGTACCTAATCTCAGCATTTATCTTTTATTTTCTTTTTCTTTTAAAAAAATTCTAATTAACCTGTTCAGAGTTGCTATTGCACACCACTTGGTTGAACTTGAAGCTGGGCCTCCTGGCCCAGAGGTAGGGCCACTACTAATGCACCGCAAGAGCTCAGCACTTACTTTTTAATGTTCAGGCAGAAGGCTATTCAGACTTTCAGAGGTAATTGCTTTAAGATTTTTTTGTTAATTCGTTCATGGGATGAGGGCATTGCTGGCCAGGCAGCATTTATTGCCCATCCCTAATTGCCTAGGGGGCAGTTAAGAGTCACATCTAGGCCAGACCAAGTAAGGATGGCAGTTTCCTTCCCTAAAGAAAATAGTGAACCAGATGGGTTTTTCCTGCCAATTGATCATGGATTCATGGTCATCATTAGATTCTTAATTCCAGATGTTTATTGAATTCAAGTTCCACCATCTGCCATGGTGGGATTACGACCCTGGGTCCCCGGAACATTATCTGGGTCTCTGGATTACCAATCCAGCGATTATATCACTAGGCCATCACCTCCCCAAAGATACAGCAAAGATAACTTGTGCATAAAAGTGTGTCAGTTTTGTTTTTGAATAACTATGCTGATTTTCCACTACAGGTTGTATGTCACTAATAGTGTGAGTTCACAGCTGCAACTCTATTTGCGTAGATGGAACATGACAGCTACATTGTGCTCTGGAAACAGACACTCTGTTATTTAACCGAATTCAAATTTCTCAGCTCCATACAGCATCTGTGAGAGAGAAACAAGGTTAACGATATGACTGTTCCTTAGAATAGTCCCCACATGGTGCAGGATAGTTGTGGGAGGTCCAACTGCAACCCCTTTTGCAGCAGTCTGTGTCATGTTCTGAGATTTAACTACCCAGCAGCACAGCCAGCAACTTTAACATCCCTTGTAAAAGGGTAAGTATATCTGGTAAGTACGAAGTTAGGGTGCCAGGTGGTTAAAGGGTAAAGGTGCCAGAGGTTAAGGAGTTAGGGTACCAGGCAGTTAAGGGGTTAGGGCGTCAGGAGGTTAAACAGTGCCTCTTGGCATCATAACCCCTCAACCACCCAGCACCCTAACCAAGGAGTGTAAGGGTTTACTGTGCCTGGTGATTAAGGGTTAGGGTGGGCCAGATGCAGTGTAAGTGATAGAGTTCTTAGGGTAGGTCCAAGGCTGAGTGGAGTGTGGGGTGAGGAGGGAATTGGAATTGGTGTCAGGGCTGACAGCGGCAGCAATAGTTAGGGGGTTGAGGGTATTGGGGCCAATGGGAAAGTGTCAGAGCTGATATGCGAGGTAGGGAGGTGATTATTATTGATGGGTCCCCAGACAACCGGGGGGTTCAGGATGGCTGAGGGTCAGAATCAGGTGTTGTGATGGTGAAATATTGGCGGGGGCATGAGGGTGGAATTGTGTTGGTTTGTGGAGTGATGTGTACAGGGGCAGAAGGGGATTTATCAGAATCCAGGAGGGTGTAAAATGTCAGGGAGAAGTCTTTGGGGTTATATATGGTAATTTGGGGTGGTGGGGTGTTGGGGGGTGTGGAGAGGTAAGATCAATAGTTACCACAGGGTTTGACTATGTTTTTAGTCATGTATCTTTAGCTTAACCTGCAGAGTAACCCTTCGAATTCTCCAGGTTTAATGGATATTCTCAGAGATTTCCAATTGCAGGTGAACTTTATATCAAATCGTCAATTTCCCAGACAATCAGCTTGGAGTCAGCTGCATCTGGGATTCTGCAGGCTCCTGGTGTGCATCTCAGATCTATGCTGCAGGAGGAAGGTTCAGTAATGTGGATAAAATGGGCTGAATGGCCTCTATGAATATTTGATATTCCAGTCTATTCAATCCTCTCACGGGTCTAGGATCTCCAACTTTATCTTTCAATAATATCTGTTACTATTTATCCGCTTAGTCTTCTCTGCCTATTCCAGCTTTATTGTTCATTCTTCTGTCCCCTCCAGACTCAAACCCAAACTTATCCAATGTCTGTGAAATCAAAACAGAGAGTGCACTGAAGATGGTGGGAACCTTACCTTCAAGAGAAAGTTAAGGTTAGGACTTTTAGCACAGGGCACATAGGTTCAAAATTGATTCCGTCTGATGAGCAGGACTTCCTTTACAGTTGAAAGGGCACCACTGTAGATTGGATCAAATGCAGAAGAGTAATAATCAAATGCAGCAAAAGTGCAATGAAAGAAAATGCATCAGTAATTCAGTTGACCAGCAGCTACTCAGTGAAGTCCATGAGTTGCTTTGTTTCTCAGCCTGTCTTAGCTCTTGTGACAGTGTCCCTACCTCTGGGCTAGGAAGCCTGGGTTCAAGTCCCACCTGCTCCACTAGTGTGCCCTAGCATTTCTGAATAGGTTGATTGGAAAGTTTTGCTAAAACGTTTGATGATAATTCACCAACTCCCCACCCTCACTCAACCACTTTATGAGCAGAATTAGTGACCCAAGGCTGAACATATTTATTTATAAAATCCCTTTTCCCCTAAATTCTTTATCTTTGTAAATTGTCTTTACTCTCATCAAGGATATCAGTGCTAGCAGTGTAATACCATCTCACCTGTGTATCTAGCAGTGAGCAAAGACTACCAAATCACATTAAATGTGCTTAAAATGCACTGTCAAAATGCTACATTTGGAAAATTAGTTAACATTTCATAAGGGATAGGAGCAGAAGTAGGCCATTCAATCCATTGAGTCTGCTCCACCATTCAATGAAATCATGGCTGATCTGATAACCCTCAAATCCACTTTCCTGCCTTATCCTCATAAGCCTTGTATCCCTTACTGATTAAAAATCTGCCTATCTCAGCCTTGCATATATTACCATAAGGACGTATTGTGGAATTATGATGCGCCATTCAACATTTTTCAGAGCTTACAGAAATCCTGGAGCAGGACCTGGGGCTAGAGAACAACAAAAACTAGATAAACTCACCTACTCTAAAAAGGCAGAGTCAGGCTCAGAGAGATAAATTGTCGCAAAGCCTTTCACAAAAGAAGTTATTAGGGCAGACAAGGAGACATTGGTTAAAGAGGTAGATTTAAAAAGCACCAGAAGAGAGAAGTGGTAAGATTTCCAGAGCATACAGTCCAGACAACTGAAGGCATGGCCACCAATGATAAGTCAATAGGGGATGAGAGAGATCCCATATTTGAAGGCACATAGATTTCTCAGAAGGTTAATCTGGTTGAAAAAGGTAATGAAGCTAAGGAGTGATGGGGCCATAGAAGATTCTCATCACAACAATTATTTCATAATCAAAATGTTACTAGACTGGAAGTCAATGGAGGTGAGCAAACACAGAGATGAACACTGATGTTGTGAGTTGGGTGACAGGGAGCAGAGTTTTGGATAAACTGAAATCTATTGAGAGTGGAAGTTGGGAATCCAGTGAGGAGAGTACTAAAATAATAATAGAATAGCAACAATGCTCTCACTTGCTTTTTCTTCAAGAACACCTTCCTTCTGGAAATGCAAGATAACTGAATTTGTTCCTGAGTTCTAAAATTCAATAAATGAAACAAATCTGTTATAATTATTGGCTACAGAGGCAAACACCCATGTGCATAATTATTGGCTAGCAACCATACTGGGAAAATTCTTGGGAACATTACTTTGAACACTATAATCAAGCATTGTGGCCTCATAGTGAAAAAGAAGTTTCCATATTCCCTGTTTCTGTTCTGTAGACTCTATGTAATTTATGACATGAGTAGTAGTGTGTTCATACAAGCATCTTTCTTTAAAAGTTCAGCAATTACAGTGATCAGGCCCAATTTAGTGTAGAAGAGAGTGAATTAAAACCTCCCCCAATATTGAATTTAAATATCCTATTGTCCATTAAAATGCATCCATCAACATTTCAAAAATAATCTCGAGCTAAGGGTAACAAACACCAAAGCTGATATAAAGCTAGTGAAGGTGGTAAATTAAAAATGGTAAGATGTGAGGAAGATTTGAA